CCTGCATGACCGCAGGGTCAGTGACTCCTGATCCCTGCAAGCACAAGGTGTGGGGAAGGCTGTGGTTCTGGCCCAGCAGAACACAGACTCCTGGCCAGGGCTAGGAGGAGGAGAAGTCTGACTGAGAGGGAGGCTACCTTGAAGCTGAATAGTTCCTGCCGCTGTCGCACTACTCCTCCTCCTTTTTGCAGCCTGGACAGGGGTCTCTGCTCTGCTGGGCCAGGACCACAGCTTTCCCTGCACCTTGTGCCTGCAGGGATCAGGTGACACCAGCCCTGAGGCAGTGCAGGGAGCCTTCTGCAGCTCCGCTGTCACGGACCCACTGGCTCACTCCCATGACAGTGGGTCTGCAGAGGGCTCTCTGTGCTGCCTCAGAGCCAGTGACACCTGATCCCTGCAGACAAGCTGACCATTACCAGCTGATACCTTTCCCCCCATCAATTTCAGCATTCACACTAAAATCAACATATATCAACAGTTACTGATTAAAAGCAAATCCCGCCAAGCCTAGCTAAAAGTTCTAAGATGGCACCAGCACCACCTTCTCTCATTTTGTGTGGAGTGAGGCAGGTGTCTAACTCATTCTCATGAGAAACAACATAGGCCACGTGACTCCAGGAGAGGGGTTCCTGTTTGGGGATCACTGGCTGAGATAGGCACTTGTCTGCAGACCAGACTTAGGAGCCCAACTCCCTGAGGCAGTGAGGTTTAGGACACACCCCTCTTGTTGGCCTCTCCCATTGACTAGTTTAGGTGGGGCAGCCACCTAGTGTCCTGGCTTTTGTCAATCCCATTCCCAGGTGCCTATCTTTCCCCATGCATTGCACAGGAAGCCTAGGCACCTAACTCAGACTTTGTGGATTGCAGTGTTGTTTTCTGATTTTCTAAAGTTAGGCAATTTGACAGTGTTGCCACGCAAAAGCCCCTTTGTGGATATGGGCCTTAATATGTCTGAATAATCTCCTTTTAGCATTATAAACACGGGGATAAATACTTCACTACCTCACAAGAACACTGAGGATAAATTCACTGTAGAGGGACTGCATGTGTTGTCCCTCCCTCTAAACAGTAACTTCATCTCCTGAGCATTATTTTTTGTTCCGTTGTTTTGGCTAGGGATTAATTTTTGACAGAGTGTAACAGGCTGGCAGTATTTTCCCAAAACACTCACCCTGTTAGCAGTTACACTGATCCTCTTGGAAATGTTAAGTGAGTTCTGATGACTCACTGAGACTTAACTGCAAAAAAACCACTGTTTTTTACACTGAGATAGATAGCTTGAGATGGCTCTTCTGATGTAAAATCCTAGTGGAAACCAGACTCAGTGCAGTTAGCTGAGGTCACCCTGTACTCCTAGTGGGGCTGACCTTGACTAACTACACCAGGGGTAGGCAACCTATGGCACACGTGCCAAAGGCGGCACGTGAGCCAATTTTCAGTGGCACTCACATTGCCTGGGTCCTGGCCACCGGTTCGGGGCGGCTCTGCATTTTAATTTAATTTTAAATGAAGCTTCTTAAACATTTTAAAAACCTTATTTATTTTACATACAACAATAGTTTAGTTATATATTATAGACTTATAGAGAGAGACCTTCTAAAAATGTTAAAATGTATTACTGGCACGTGAAACCTTAAATCAGCGTGAATAAATGAAGACTCGGCACACCACTTCCAAAAGGTTGCTGACCCCTGAACTACAATGAGGAAAAACTACAGTGCCATGTCTCCAATTGGATTTTACATAGAGCGCTAATTTGAGCTAGCTCTGGGTGCAAAAAAGGTATGCTTTTACAGAAAAGACACAGCCGCTGTTGTCAAGTAGCTTGTTACCCCACCTGGAAATGAAGGAGGTAGGAGAAGTAGTGACTGTCTAAAAAATTTTTAAAAGGTAGCTACAGGGTGGACTGAACTGTCTGGAGAGTGGAACCCTAAGGACAGACAATGTTTCAGAGAAGATTTGAGCTGAACTTAGTTATCTTATTGTTAATGTATATGGTAACAAAATCAAATCCAGGAAGAGGGTGGCTTTGGACCCTTAATGTTGGAGAAGGCTGGGGGATATGTCTGATTATACAGGGGTTAGTTGATCATATTGTGTTCTCGGCAGCAGGCTGATCATTTTTATGAACAGCTCTGCCTGCTGTAGAGCCAATGTCCATGGCCTTTAGCTGGCTGTGTGGTTTGGAAACTCATGGATTCTTTGGGATGCAGAAGGCCCCAATAGAAGTATAGACACTCATCACAGTTAGATAATAACCTTAAATAGGGGTGGAGTAGTATAGTTAACAACATTAAGAATATTAATTTTTTTAAAATATTGTTTTGGAAAAAAGTGGGATTTCTGCATGCATGTTTGTAATGCTTATGTTCTGACTACAGAACATCAAGTATGGATAGCACTTTGGAAGGGGAAATGTCTTTGCAATATACCAAGCAGACCGCTCAAGCAGCCCCCAAACTCCTCTGGTGTGGCAGAGGATAAAGGAGGCCTGTTTGTTTCCCTCCAGTTTTTAATAGTTTGCTGACTGTGCATTCCAGCTGTAGTGGGAGCTAGTATAATTGGCAAATAGGTGATGGTATTGAGTATTTTGACCACTAATAACTGCAAGTAGCTTTTCTTTTCTCTGTATTTCACAGAAGACCACAGGTGGGTACAAACTTGTTGTGGCACAGTGAGCCACAAAAGCTCAGGGCCAAGTCATTCCCGCAGTTATCCTATGTAACTCATTTCACTTCAATGGGGTTGCGTGGATGAAAATGACAGCAGAATCTGGCCCCATAACTCTGTGTAAGAGCAGAGTAATGCTAAGCAAAAAAAAAAAAAAAAAAAGCATATATGAATTGTACTGTAGTGGCACTACTGCCACCTCTGGCCCTTTCTGGCACAACAGAGAAACACAGGAAATACTGGAGGAGTGAGTCCAAAACAACTCATTTTTTCATCACAAGAATTAGCATTCTAAACAAGACTTAAGGACTAGGCCTGCAAAGGTGATTTTTTATTCTGTGAAATTCCTAGAGGTGGGAGATGTATCAAAGTTGTGAAGTGAGGCAAATTGTGTCATAATATATTTAGCAAGTAGTATTATGCCCACCACAGAAAGAAAGAAAGAGAGGGAGAGGTACAATACATTCTTTGAGGCTGGAATAGTATTTAATGTATACAGCAAGGAAACAGGTTTCTTTAACTTGGTGTTTTCTATAGTACCTTTTACTGGGGTATAGAAGGAATTTCCCCTATTGCTAATAAATAACCATGCAAAGGTCTCTGAACTTGTCAATTTCCTTTTGGAATCTGCATCATACCTGCTTATAGTGCAAAATTGAAAAGCCTGAGAGATTTTTTGCCTCTTACCTTGCCCTCTACTCCTATTACAGCCATTGATTGTTTCCACTTACCATTTAAAAATATTGACCTCTAATACATATTTTTAAAAAACAAGAAAATGAATAGCTTTGTCCAGAATCACTTCAAGCACTTGATGGGACTGAATCACCAAGTTCTTCACAGCCTGTTTGAACTATTGTTCCTCCTCTTCCACAAGCTTCCTGCCTCAAGTGAGAATGACTGTCTGGGATTTTTCTTCTGTAGTCTCCCACCTATCCACTAGCTTCTTTGTGTGCTCAGGCTCTCTTCCTTCACCAGTTTTTTTTCTTCCCTGCCTCCTTTTTTCTCACTTCTAAAGCACATGGCAAGAATGAGGAGCTTAGCATCAACAGAGCCAGCTTTGGCATTTTGGGAGAAGGCCTACACAACAGCATTTTGCTGCCCTTGTCAAATGTAGCTGACTCCTATCCACCACGATCACACCACTCTGCACAGAGATAGCATAAGGTTCTTGGAGGGTTAGTGAAAGGATTTTTTTTTTTTTTGCGATACATCCTAAATTGAACTCATTCATTTTACACTGTATGTGTGTGTGTAATCTTTAGGTTGCTCCAGACTGCTGCTACAGAAGTGGGACCCAGCTGGTTGAGTTGTTCCCTTCAGCTGTGGCGATTAGTTTATACTATGAAAGCCCACATTTGCACAGAAAAGGACTAGAAACTTTTCTATTAAATCATTTATACTTCTTTCTCCAAATGTGGGGGAGATGCGGCAGCCAGCTGTTGGCTTTATGAAGCCCAACGCTCAGCGTCGAGCACTGATGTGGGTTGTGTTTCTTGGTCTGGTTTCACACATGAGCATGCGAGCATTAAAGCGGAGCTTCCTGCTGTACCCATGTGGTCAGGCAGGGTGGGATTTGCTGAGGACCAAATTGAGCAAAGAAACAATGTCTGGTAGTTTGCAGGTGGGCGTTACTCTGACTGATCGGGTTAACGAGATAGGATGGGGGTTTCCTCCGCCTTTGTTTGAAGGCTGGGTTTTAATCTGGGATCTGTGAACAGGCTGTGGAGGGGTTTCACGGTCAGATCACCCTGACTTTCTTTATGGCTAGATGGGGGAGAGATCCTGAATGCTTTCTTTTATTGTAGCAGGGGATGAAGGTTGAGAACAACTGCTCTGTAGCATGTCGTACTGGGTACCATGAGAGGGAGGATCCTGTGTTAGATGGACCCCGGGTCAGACCCAGTGGGGAGATGCCTACCTGGCGTGCACTTGGGAAGAGTAACAAACTTTGGATGCCCTCCCGAGCTGTCCAGTCCCCCTCACACCTGTGGGTCCCTTTCACAGCTGGGGTGCTACGCCCACCTTGCTAAGGGCCGAGATCGTGGCGGCAGTGACGCGGGGGTCCCCAGGCAGGTAGCGGGGCCCTTCTCCTAGCCCAGGCGGCCCCGGCCCCACTCGCCAGCTGTTCGGGGCTGTAACACTCTCGCTGTCTCTCGTTCTCTCCCAAGAGGGAGCGGCCTGGCCGAGCAGCCCAATGAGCGGCGCGGCCGGGCGCTCTGCTGGCCAATGGGGCGGCGGCTGCGGGGGCGGCGCTGGTCTCTGCGAGCCGAGCCAGCAGCAGCAGCGGGCGGGGGCTGCGCAGTGTGCTCGCCCGCCGGAGCCGCACAGCCAGCCTCCGACCCACCGCGGCAGGCGCTGCCCTCCTTCCTTCTCCCTGTCTGTGCGTCTCCGCGGTGGAGGAGCTTGAGCGCTGCTGGGAGCCAGGCTCGGCGGCACCATGGCGGTGGAGGAAGAGGGGCTCCGGGTTTTTCAGAGCGTCAGGATTAAAATAGGTAAGAGTAGAAGGGAGCGTCCCCGGCCGCCAACAAAGGGCGCGAGGGGGGCTCTTTGCAGCCTTGGCGAGGGCTCTGGGGCCGCGGGGCTGCAGCTTAAGTGCAGGTACCTTCTTGCACTGGGAGCTATAGTGCATTGAGGCTCCTCTGCCTCAGCCCCGCAGCCCGCCCGCCTGCCTCCCTCCCTCTAAAGCGGGTGCTGAGGAGGCAGCAGCCGCCTAGCTAGGCACTGTGGGATCCCGTTGCCTTTTACAGCAGCTGCGCTGCCTCATCCCTCCTAGCCGGGACGGCTCTGCATGTAGAGCGCTCTTCAGCCTGCCCAGCAGCTGCCCTGGCTGCTTCTTGTCCCTTCTGAAGTTTCTTCGCAAAGGCTCCGCCTCAGAGGGGCGATGGATGCTGAGAAGGACACTAGGGGTCTGTCCTGCCTGAAATGGGTTGGGTTGTTCCTTAAAATCGTGCAACAACATCCCGACTAGAAACTGACCAGCTGCAGCAGCATCTTTGTCAGTTACAGTTAGAAACTAAACAAAACAGCCTATCCTTGGACTTGTCTTTCAAACGCGCTCTTCCCCACCCCTCGCGTGTAAGTGCATTGGACATGGAGGATGCAAATCTCTGTTCTTTTAGATTCCTAGTCCCACTAGTATTGGTGACAGATTATATAATACGATGGAAGAACAACCTGGGGCATTATCTGCGTGAGCCCCAGGACTTGATTTTTGCTAAATTACACTGAAGAGGTATGAAGAACGGTTTGAAGACTAACAAAGCCAATCATCATTGATCCTGCTTTGAGCAGGGTGTTGAACTAGATGACCTCCTGAGGTCCCTTCCAACCCTGATATTCTATGATTCTATGATCAGTTTTGTGCATCGTTTGTTAAAACTGATGTGGAGAAATAGAAGGGCATAAAATGACTAGCAGTAGGTTCAACTTTAATAAGATTGTCATGCATCTAATATTGCTATTGTGGAAACTAAGCTATTGCTATGTGGCTGTTTTAGAAGGTAGCTCACTTTGTTTTAGAGATGCATTACTATTTTAGCTGCTGAGTGATTTCCAGACCACATTATTAGAAAGTAAGCCACAGATGTCACTGTGTGTTGTAGATTAAAACTCTCTCTGGTAGTGTTTTGAGTGTGCAGGGCTGTTGGGAAATCCCTTGTTTCCTTAACAGAATAAACCACTTCATTTTGAAGGGGAACACTTTTTGTTTTGCTTTTTTCTCTGCTATTTGGAGCAGTTGGGAGTTGGAAAGGAAGCTAAAGTGCCTAACTCCCACTGAGGGCTAAGAGAGTTAGATGCTTAGTTACTTTTTGTGCTTTTGAAAACCACTGTTGACATGTTGATACTCTTAAAAGCAACTTCATGCCTACCAACTGTAATGCAAGATAAAGTAAAACAAGTTAGAGAGTAAATCTCATTACTCAGGTAACAAAATGGTATTTCAAGGAGATGGCAACATGTTACCTTGCTGTTAGGATCCTTCCCTCATTAATCCAGTTACGCAGTAGCTTAAAATACAAAATTTGGCACCACTGAAATAAAAAGTTATGGTAACATGAATGAGAAGTTGTATGTGAATCCATCCAGAAAAGCTTATGAATGGGTCTATATAGTATGGCAGGGTGAGACTGGCTTTCAAGTTCCCTTGAAGGAGGAAAAAAAATCACGTTTAATGTCTTGTTGTGGTAGGTATATTAAAGGAGGAATTCATGGAATAGCAATATGTTGTAACTAAAGAAGTAGTAGTAACAGAAGAATTTCTATCTACCATTTTGCATGTAAGAAAAACCACTGCGAGTAGTATAGCATTGACTGGCATTCACTGAAGGGAGTAATGTGATGGTGTCATAACTAATTGACTGACATAATTGAAATATGTCTGAGTGACAGAGAAGATATAATTTAGCAACAACAGCAAAAGGTTTGAGATTAATCTGACCAAAGCATCTGCTAAAGTTAATCCCATTTCAGAATTTAATATCTGAACCCTTATTAGAGTAATTTTTGATTGATACTCAATACTAGAGTAGGTTTCAGAGTGGTAGCCATGTTAGTCTGTATCAGCAAAACCAACGAGGAGTCCTTGTCTCTAAGGTGCCACAAGGACTCCTCATTGTTAATACTAGAGTAGTGATTCATGGGCACTTATGTGTAGTTAGATACAGTTTTCTCACTGTAGTATGTGTCATTGACACTAGAATGCCTAACCTTTTGTTCCTAAAATAAATATCTTCTATCTGATGTGGTAGGAGTAACTCCAATAGTTCAGGTAGTAGAGTGGATTGGTATGCACATGAAATTTGACTTTTTAATCCAGTAGAGGGCAATGGTAAATGTTTACAGGAGCCAATTTGTTCATTCTGTCATTTAGTAGTAGTAATGTATTTCAAATTATATTAATCCAACATTCATGGCAAGAGTTCTTGAAGAAATACTTATATAACAAGTTTTGTTGAAATGTTAAACACTTCTAGGTCTTCAGTATGTTCTCACAGAGGTAAAAGTCATGTCAGCAAAACAGAGGTGGCAGGATAGTTGCCGTTTCTGAACTGACGGGAAAAAATTGGCATGTTGATGTTGTCTCAGTTCTGTTTAGTAGGTCTTGTGAAGTGGTTGTGACCTGCATAATTTTGCCAAGATGCTTTAGAGTTCTGACTTTCCATCTCAAAGGTGGAACAAATGGTCTTTATGTGCACCCAGAAGAAATAATACATAGTACTTGTATTGCATTCAGTCTTCATGAGTGCTTGGAATTTTTTTCAGATATCTACAAGCTAGAGGTAGACATGAAACAGGAAATGAGAGGCAAGTAGCCACAATCCACTTCCATCAGCTTTTAGGAGTGGATATCTCTTCATATCTATCTATCTTGAGGTTTTTGTGCCCGTCACTAGTATCCAAGTGGACTTCTGTTTACCCTTCCCTGGTTGGATTTGTTTACATTTTTTGGATATATAAAATATAGTTCATGGTGGGAAAAGCTCTGTCATAATGCTCTAAAAGTGACCAGACTCTGGAACAGTTCTAATCTTCTTTGGAAATTCATTTCTAAGCCAAATTTCTTTGACCAAAATCACTTAGTACTTGGTTTTGTGAGCTGTATTGTCCCAGAGGTGCACTTCTGTCATGTCATGGATGGAGAAATGGCCACATACAGCAGGGTCCTGACCTGCTGAGGACACTGAATGCCTTGAAATAGCAATGGAAGTGGCTTGTGAGATGGACTCGAGGTCTTGTGCTTGTGAATCACCATGGGCAGATCTTGTCCGGGAGGAAGAAATAGCGTTCCCTAGGAAGCTGCAGATGGAAGAAAGCATTAGTGGCACAAAATGTCAACTGATTGTCCAGGATCAATGATTGAGTTTAATGAACAGAACCACTTCAAGCCAAGTGGGGTGTGATGTCTTAGTTCTTTACAATGTTTCCCTATTTTGAAGAGGATCATGCTGGTCTTGTCTTGATTCAGCTTGAGCCAGTTGCTCTCTCTTTAGGACTTAATCTTGTGTGGACTTTGTGACATTCTTGTGATTGCATTGTTTGCATCTGTGGAGAATGACTTTCTTCTGTTTCCATGGCTGGCATATCATGAGCAGTGCAGCTGATTCTACAGATGATTTCATGTAGATATTGAAGAGGAGATAAAATGAGGTGGATTCCTTTGAGACACTATGAGTGAGGGCTTTTGGGAAAGAGGAGCTGTCACTACGCTAATTCTCCTTTTTGTGGTCCTCTCCATTGGAAGAACTCAGAGCCTGTCTGCTTTTGCTCATGGTTCCCCCTGATTAGAATAAAATCATTATTACAAGAAAGTAGCATATGGACAGAAATAAAAGGGCATTCATTTCCTTTGCTAAATATTTCCCTTCAAGGTCAGATTTTATTTGGCTACTTTTTACTGAAACTGTATTTTCACATTGTCCATCTTTCTTCATTGAAAATTATTTTTTTTACAGGAATCTCTCATACATAAACAAAACAATGTATCTTGTAAGACTAAACAAATGCTTCCTATAAGATTGCTACTTTGAGGAAGTGTGCAGCTCTGATATTTCCATGAGTCAGGGTTTCAGAACCTGAAAGGAAACAACATAAGACTTGTGGCAGATGATTGGCTGGAAAAACTACAAAGAGAGTGCTTCTGCTTGGCAACATAGTTACTGTTAATAATACTTAATAAATATGCTCTACTTAATTGCTACCCTTTTTTTCTCCTTTGACTCGTGTCATTTTATTACTTAACTAGTTTAAACTTTCAATTACAGAAATAAAAGCAAAGTACATATTTAGCACATTCAGCATTTCTACAATGGAAAGCTATAACCTGGGTAGTAGGAAAGAACAATCCTACACTGCAGGAATTACAGGCCTATGTTACGATGGAAGTTAGATTACACAATCATAGTGGTCCCTTTTTGGCCTTAAAATCTATGAACTTTAGTTTTAATAAAATACCTTAAATCTTGCACTGTTGTATCCAGGAGTGTAAAATTTATGCTATTCTCTTGATAGTATAACTTAGTGCTTTTGAGTGAGTGTTCAAAAATCATATGTAATAAAACAGAGTTCTCACAGTTGATTACCCTTTTATCTATAGGTTCAAATGTTGAGATTAGTCCTACAGTACTTCTAGAAACAGCCCCAGAGATATCAATCTCTTGTGAGAGGGCTGATGGATTGGGCCCTTCATTTGGAAGTCATGAGTGAAATAAGACTGGTTTCAGAACATAACTCACATGGGTGATTTCATTGTGTAACTTGGTATAGATGATATATCCAGCTCAGTAGTGAGTTAGAACTGAAACTCAAGAATGTTATAGTGCTCATACCGTGCCTGACTTTATATTAGCAATTTTCAGGAATACTGTAATGCACTTTCATATCTAGAAATGGAGAAGGGCAGTAGCATTTTAGAAATGATGCATTATGTAGCACTTTGTGTATGAAATGGGTCATTGTGGAAATAGTAAAGTCAACTAAATCTGTAAACATTGGA